TGTTGACAGTGTCTAGACACCAATTTTAACGAAGAAATTACTGACTTCAGCAGAGGGTGTGTGCAGTTAGTCCATACATATATATTTACGTGAGTGAGTGTACAACACATTCTTATCCATATGCTGTTCATACATCCGTATTCGCATTCGCACCCGCAAACATAAACGTAAATGCTGCCACCATATGTTACTTGGCGTGTGAGTGTGTGTGTGTGTGCGGTGCTGCTGTAAAACAAAGAATTTTAAAACTTTGCCAGCGAAAAAACCGAAAAAAATTGCAATACACACGTACAGAATAATAATGAAAAGCAGAATTTTGCGAATTAACAAAAGGTGATTTTACAATGGGGTGTAATGAAAACAAAATGGATGTAGTAGTAAAATACTGATATTTTCGATGGAAGCATTTATACAGGCTGAGACCACTCATCTATATAACCTGTCATCAATTTGACTACAAAGACTACTTTTGTCTACAAAGATCGGGAGTCAACAAAGACTCTTTCACCTTATCACAAACACATCCGTTTGCTAGACTTATATGACTTCCTTTACCTAGTCCAAAATTTTTCTATTTTCCATCAACTAATTTTCAGAGTTTCCCAAAATACCCCTCAGCCAAATATATAAAGATTCCCCTCTTCCGAACTCTCTGGTCCGCGAAGATTATTTAAGCTTGTCAATGAAGATTAAATTCAGCTCGAATACAAAGAATTTCTTCACGTAGCCAATAGAGACTTCCTTAGTTCCTGTATGAAGATTATTTTCAGCTGGTCTACTCTTTCGTTAGTCTTCAAATAATTCTTTATGACAGTCTCCCATTAGGCCGTGTCCTTTTTAGTCTAGATGAAGTGGTCTTCCTCCAGCTTGCATATGAATATTCTCTTCAGCGCATCATGGAAAAATCCTTCATCTCGACTACAAATATTTTCACCAGTCCCTCATAAAAAATCCTTGGCTGGTCCATTAAGACTCCTACAAGACATCTACAAAGACCCCCTTAGCTCATCTCAAAGTGATTTTATAAAAGGTATAACCAATGCTTTTGGAAAACGCTCTAGAACTTGTAAATCATACCTCATTTACAAAGAATAATTTCCTCTAGTCCATAGGGACTCCCTTCAGTCAATCCTCGCTTAAGCTCGTACATGAGCTCATTAAAAATTGTTCCTCAATTAATCTATAACGACTACCTTCAGCTAGTTTATAAACACTATTAATTAATCTTTAATAACTTCCTGAAAATAAACTCCCTCCATCTTGTTTACAAAGAAAATCCACTTGTCTCCACGGACATTTTGTGCTGGTCTCGGAAAACAATAATAGTTTTTTTAGTACTTCCTTCAGCTAACCTGCAAAGACTTTGTTCAGCGACGAGCTAAAGGAATCGTCTTTAAAAAAGTCCCTTTAAAATGTCATAAGGACACCCCTCAGATCCTTTATGAAGACTCCTCCTCGCTTGTCCGTCAATAATTTTTCCAGTTCGTCTACACAGGATCTTTTTCGCCAGTCTATAAATACTCCCTTTAGCTATTCGATTGTCACGACTATCTCAAGACCGTCGTCTATAAAGTCTCTGTTAATTTTAGCTATGAAGACTCTCTCCACCTCAATGAATTACAACGACTTCCTCCAATTAAACCATAGTGACTTTGCCTTCAAAGAAATACAAAATCCTCTCATCTCTTTTGACTCAATTCAGTTTCTCATTAAGACTTCCTCATGCTGGGTAATAGGGAGTCCTTTAAGCTTGTGTAGAAATATTTTTTTTCAGCTCGTCTGTATAGTACCTATTAAGTCGTAATAAAGACTCCCTTCAGTGAGAAAAGACTCCATTTTCGCTCAGAAAAAAATATTTTTTAGCTGGTCTAAGAAAATTTCAAAAGCTTAGCCTAAATAGCTGCTTTAGTTAGTAATCAAAGACTTTATTAAGTTTCTTTTAGGTGGTCTTCATAAGCTCTCGTTAGCTCGTCATAAAGACTTCCTTCAGCTGGACTATATAGACTCCTTTTAGGTCGACTTCAAAGACTTCAGTCCGCTATTTTACGAAAATAAAAACTGCCTTCATTTCCTCTATGAATACTCCCTTAAGCTCATCTCTAATTTTTCCATCAGCTAGGCTATAATCAACCCTTTTCTATCACCAAGAATGCCAAATAAACTTTTGTTTACCTTGTCAAAACTATTTTCTTTGCTTTGAACTAATTTGGTGTTATCTGCAATTTTCCAGGCCTCTAGTCAACCTATAGTTCAACTTTCTCAAAAAAACAAAAAAGAGAAAAGCATTTCACATTCATTCAAGGAATCTGCATTCGCAGTAAAATGCAGCTTTGTTTTCCAGCAAAAGAAAAATTCCCATTTTTTTCTGACACGAAACCATTCAACAAAACTACAAACAATAATCTGTAAGGGCAATTGTGACGACGACGACGATGGCGATGATGACGACAATAGTGCTTATGACAATAACGACAGCAGCAACAACAACAACAACAGCAACATTTACAATGTCACAAGTCATATGTCTTTATCAAGGGAAACAAAAATAAAATAGATGTGAAGTTTTAAAGGTGGATGCTGCTTTTAAAAACAGCAGCTATCCTTCATGCCCATCATCATGGGGAGCATCAGCGGCATTGTCCTCGTCGTCCTCGTCGTCCTCGTCATCATCTTCATCATCCGAATTATTTGTAGTGAAATTTTTATGTCTGTTCAACATCAGAGTTTTTACTTTCACAGCGTTTATACTTTGCTGACATTTCTACTACTCCTTTTTTCGTTGTTGTTGTTGTGTTCTTTGTTCATTTTCCCAAACATTTTTCATTGCATGTTTATGAGTTGTGTTCGTGTGTGTGTGAGTGTTTTGTATTTCCAAGAATGAGAGCGGGTATTGTATGGCGTGACACAGCACATTTACAGTTGAATATAACAACAGCAATGACTCTCTTGACACAGACCAATACACAAACTCACACATATGCCTGCATTAACATCAGCGATCCCACACACACACACACAAATACACACTCACTCCATTGGCATACAAACATTCATATAAAGTTTTACAATACCAGACGACGCGGCATTTTAACCCAAGTGACAGGTTAAATTAAAACGTCACATAAATCTTTACTAGAATTTTCATTAAAATACTTAAGTGGCAAAAAAAGAAGAAGGAGGAGGAGGCAAAGGCAAAGGCAGAGAATACTTCCCGAACGTGCTGTGGCGTTGTTGTCGTTGTGTTCTCATCAACTTCTCGGAACAATACAAAGTTGTTCACTTTTCTTCAACCACTTCCGTTGGCAGTGAAGAGAGTGAGCCAACACACGAGACTCACACAAACCCACACACACACACCGAAGTACTCCCGCACTTACACTTGCAAAAATATTGCCATGAAAACAGACGAAATTGAAAATATTTTTTGTTACTGTTGCTGCTGTTGTTGTTGTTGTTGTTGGAGCAGAAACAGCCACAAAAATATGTTACACTTGGAATAAGATGTGGCAGAATTGTTGCCGTTAAAGTTAATGGCCAAAGTGTAAGTGTGGGAGCGCAGTGAGAACACCATCGCCACCGCAAACAACAACGATGACAACAACTACTTGTCTGAAATTGAAACTAAAAACCGGCGAAAACCTCAACACGAAACTATCTTTGACACAAGTTGCAAGTTGCTTCAAGCCGTAGAATGGAAGAAAAGTGCAAAAGAGGAAGTCAGATATAGGGAGAGGGGGAGGGGGAGACCAGTACCAGCGAACATTTTCCTTAGACATGATTAAATTTTCTAGGAATTTTCATTTAGAACTTTCGTTAGGATTACTCGATGCTATTTAGTGTGTTTGTGGTAAATAATTTATTAGCTGTATATGTGTGTTTGTATAGAGACGTGTGTATGTGTGTGTGTGTGTGTGTTCGAGAAAACTTTATTCAAGACATAATAGATCCAAAACAATGATAATGCTGCTACAACAAGAAGTTTGTGTGGCGAAAAGTGTTCTAAACTCGCAAAGAATAGTTAATTGTTGTGGTTATTTTCAAGGTTTTACAGTTTGCCGGAGGGGAAGGGAGAGGTGGAGGGGGATAATAATGGGAAATTATATACTAAGACTTTTTAATAAATTTGTTATTTATACAAAAGGGATAATATTTGAGAATTTTTGCGGATATTTTGTGGTCATGAAAGCAGATAATATAAAGAAATGCAATCCTTCTACGACAATTCGTGGGCTAACTAAAAGTCGTAAAGGATATTAGAAGACTACACCAGTTCCATTTTCTGGGCTCGCAATCCACAGACCCTGAGAAGTCTCTTGAAAAAGTTTGATGAATTCACAAATCTAGAACTCATAGACATCAATTGATTAAGGGAATCCTTCTTGATGTTGAGCCCAACTGACTTAATTTCATCTCTAAATTTGAAATGTCCACTACCCTTATTGAATATTTTCCTTTCTATTGGACATCTTTATTAAAAAATATTTATTTTGTTTTTGGGCATATTTTCTGAATATCTAATGGTATTCCTTATACATACCAATTATTTTTCTAGAAAAACATTTTCGGAATTTTTCATCTAAAACTGAAAAAAAAAAAATACTCCGATATGCAGGGCTAATTAGAAAAGCACAAAAAGAAAAAATAAAATTCATATCCTATAGAGATCGAAAATACACATACACACACTTGCATGGAAACATCTATACACACATAAAGCCATATGAAAATGGAAATATTTTCCAAGAGGAAAACAATTTCATTTTCAGTTGCATTGTTTAGTTTTGGTTTAAAGAATTTACACAAACATTTGTCATATTGATTTATTAAGGACCGAACTGGTAAACAATCTCCTAGCTGGCTGGCTAGCTAACAGCATAGCTACTGGCCTTTGTGTAGTTTGTGAATTTCTTTGCAATAGATTTTTGTTGTTTTTTTTTCTAATTTAGCATTTTTTTTTTGTTGTTCTCTCGTTTTGCTGCAATGTAAAATGTGAAATTTACCTTGGAAAATATAGACGCACTATTTCACCAGCTCGTCCTTTGATGTGATAACTGCATGAGGTGTTTGGCGGATACCAGTGGGCTATGCTCAGGAATATACCCTCACTGGCACTGCTATCTTTGAGCGAGTCAGAACTTAGCAGCCAATCGCATATGCCGTGTTTGATGCCAGCCGTTTCGACATGACCTGGCCAATTGCCAACATTGAAGTGGAAGCCAGTGTTGAGCAGAGGTCCAGCAGGTGATGTAACGAACTCAACGTACATGTATTGTGAAGTGCCTGTAATGGAAATAACAACACAGTATGAACAACAACAACAAAAACAACATCAACAACAATATCACTGTAAATAAACAAATTCATACATATCGAATGAAAGATGGTAGTAGAGAGGGGTTGTTGGGGGGAGAGCAATGGAGGACATGGAGTTGACACACATTCAAAATAGACACATCGGTGTTGTCATTTGGTATCATACACGGGGAAAAATTAAAGTTTGGATGTAAGTTAAGAAAATTTAGTTTAAAATATCTAAGCGTTTTACATAATTAATTAAGAGTTTTCATCGTTCGTAGGGTATAGATGCTGCCCTTTGCAGAATTAATAAATGTCAAGAGGCCCATTTCATGGCTCATTTTTCGTTATATTTCATGTATTTATAAAAATATTAATATTAGTAAATTGAATATTAAATATTAATTTATTTTTAATAATGTTGAAGATATTACCGTGAACTTTTTGAGAAACCGTGAACTATTGTGAAATTTTAGCAGAGTATTAAGACTAAATTCTTCCATTCTTCCAAATATTGAGTCCGAGTATGCATTTTTTCCATACTACTCATGATGACTTGAGCCAAGACCCATAAGATCCCCCCCTCCCCAAATTTCTCTCACTGTATACCATGGCTATGACATTTTGTCACATTTGGTAGGCATCAATGCCCAATGCGGCCAAAGGAATGCCAATTCAGATGTAGGTGTGATATGCTGTTGGTCCGAATAAACATTTAATAAATATTAATTGCATTAGCATTTCAATATCCCTCATCTGCCATATTTGGGTTTTGATTATGGACTCCGTTTGTGCCAATCCAATCGGCAACTGGTAACTGGCCCCCACATGTAACCGGGCAGCAAGATAGGAGCCATATCCAAAGTGACAAAGCAAATAGCAACTGATACAGACATCTACAAATGTTTATTGGTACTCATTGCCATTTACATAGCTCAGAACTCGTACGTATCGATCCGATTCCATGGAGGGCAAAGGTGGAATTGAGTTCATTTGTCCGTGTGTGTGTGCATGGGTGTGTTCAGTAGTATGGAAGGATGCATTTACAAATTAACAGGACATGTCAAGGGGTCAACAAGCCAACACATACACTAATAAAATTCTACATAAGCTATTGAAGTTGAAAGCATTTTTTTGGAATAGTTAGTCATCCCCTACCTCCACCCCCAACCCCTCTGGGTGCAATCACACGTTTGCATAAATTACTTCTTTAACTTTGTTATTTGCATTGCGACTAGACCCTTTTTTTGCTTCCTTTAAGGGATAAATGCAGTTACATTGCCAAACATTAAACGGAGTGATCCACCTCGCTTTGGGGGGGGGGGGGGGAATATGTGTTCGCTCTTCTAAGTATTTTAATTTCATTCACAATTCAATTTTGAGCAGCACTTCTCCGAACTGTTGCAATTGAAAAAATATTCAATAAAATGCCAAGTACATGAAAACACACACACACACACAGAGATATTCATACACACGCACACACGTGAACACTTCGAAGCCCATTTAAATGTTTTTCCAAAGAATTGGGGTCAAGGGTTATTATTATCAGCATACCGTTAGAACTTTAAAGTTCAAGTGGAAAACTAATATTAGTTATTGCAAATAACATTTGGAAATTATTATTAACGAGAGGCATGGCTACTACCACTTCTCATATGAAATAGTGAATGACCTGCATTGAGAAAAGAGAGAGGAATTTTGGCCAATTCTCTATTGGAAGGGGGAAAGCTGTTAGGGAGAAAAAATAAATTCTTTTGTAGAGGATGTCAAAGGATCGGATTGGAGTGGGAGTATTCCTGCAAGTATAAAAAGAAAAAGGAGCATACTCTATACCAATAAGAGCGAATCTTAAAACTCTCTAGATCTCTCTGAGATTTTTCTTTTAATTTTCCATGAACAGCTTAACAATGTTTGACTCCCTTAAAAATTAATCGTGACAGGCAGTATGCAAACTTGAAAATTACCACATATTTGAATCTCTCTTGCCACCGCTTCCTTGTCCGTACTTACCTATAATACTAAAGGGGAATTTTCCTAGGCCACAGAATTTACCAATCAGCGGTGAATGTTCATCGCGTCCATCGTAGACAGCCAACCAGTCGTAGGGACAATGCTCGTTGCCGGAACCAATGTGGCGAATGGGACAGGTCATGACATTTTCGCATCTGCAAAGACAGAATATAAAAATAAAAATCAAAACAAATGACACCGTCGACGGGTCTAGCCCAACATTTGACAATCATCAAATTTAATGTCACAATTTTAAGTTGGCAAGTATCGCCAACACTTATTTCCTTGCACCAGATCCTCCGCCCCTCCCTCTCCTTCATAGAGCTCTTGACAAACATAAGCTAGGAATTAATGACCTCGTCTTCGCATCATTACAACGTCACTTGGCTTGAAGGTTTAAAACTTTCTAATATCCTCATCATTGTCGACATCACGGAAATTTCAACGACCAACCGCGAATGGTGACAGCATAAAAAGCAGGACTTTTTCGAACATTAGCGCCAACTGAGAACAGACGTCCTGCAGGCTCATTATCATCCATGAATTTTAACAAAGCATTTCAAGTGATTATTTTTTGCGTTTGTTTTTGGTTTTGGTGGGGAATGTGATGGCGATTTGGTTGATTGTAATCGTCATCATCATCATCATCATCATTATTCACGAAAACACACGCATTCGTCCACAAATCGTCTGTCTGTTGGTCGATCGGTCTGAGTGACGGTTGGTTGGCATGTGCGTCCCTTCATATTTGTAGACCACATGATGAAATTGTTATCCTACTATTATGGTGGAATTTAGCGATAACCATAATGGTCATGCTGGGGTCCAATCGCAGCAGCCGGGCTGCGAGTGAAATACTGTCACATCAGCATTATCATTAGAATCAAAGTCAGCAAAAGCAGCATCGACCAGTCACCGCCACTGATGCCGTGTAGCAGAAGGACAATGATTCTGGACAGTGAGCCGGCCAGGCCAACAATGCTCTCGTCGATGTAATGCCAAGTTAGCCATAATTATAAAGTTACCAAACAATTTCCCATCTTTCGTTCACACTGTTGTTGTTGGTGTTGTTGTTGTTGTTGTTTTTTCAATTTCTATCCAACATTTCCATTTTACATTTAAATAATTGATGATGACAAGCAACTGTTTTAAATGAGGGTATGTCCAACTAATACCTCTAGCCTCGCGAGCTTCCCGCACTGTACCCCAGCCCACCCCTCCTCATCCCCACTGTGTTTGCTTTCGTTGTCATCCTGTGGAACATTTGCCAGCAATTTGTAAAATTGAATTATGATTTATGATCGAATGATGATGATATGCATTTTTCAAAAAATTTTATCGTTTCCAATGAAACGTTGCAGTGTTGTGCCATTGAGCAAAACATTGAAACAACAATAATGACAATGAGGCGAGAAAGAGGGAGAGAGAGAAGTTAGGTGGCTGGTCCTCCTCATTTGTCCCCAGGGTGACCATCGCGCAGTGGGAACAGAAGGTGCCATTTAATTTTATTAAACTTGAAATAGATAATTTGTCACTCTCGTCACGTACATTTGTCTCAATTTGTAAAACGTGGAGTTAATGTTGAGCAAATGATATTAACTGGGTGGGTGTGCGTGCGTCAGTGTGTGCGTGCGTGTGTGTGGCGAATGAATAATTATTGACACAATTCTGATTTGCAAAATGTGTGGGGGAACAGCTAAATGATAATTATTTTCCATATACAATTATTCTAATGCCAGGAAATTGTAATAAGTGATATATTTCCGAAATAAGTTGGGACATCTACATATATGGTCAAATATTCATAACCTGAAGAATCAGAAAATATGGAATTTAATGAATCAATAAATCAATCCTAACCAGATTCGAGACAATATTATTGAATTGCACCACAAGTTTATTAAAAAAAAAAATTGGAGGACATATTTCCGGATAAAAATAGTAAATCTTCATTAGAGGGATCACTCCCTCCATTTTTTAGAAAAAAAGAATCAATAGGTTTGAAATGGACCAATGCAAATAGAGTTCTAACTCCGGGCCAAAACTTGTCTGGATTATTAAATTAGTCAACGTCTTCTATAAGAGGTTGGAATGTAATCTGGGAATGTTGTAATCTGGGAATGCTTCTTCGACTTCGAATCCTATTCAGCCTTAGATAATATGAATACTGATCTAGGGGTTCACTGTTATTTCCTTGGATCTGCATATAAATTCCCAGGCTTGTGTAGGTTTTTTGATTTTTAGAAGAGTTTTGGCAGAACTGAATACGTTCGTATAATATAACAATTACTATTTTATATCAGACAGCTCTGGAATGCAGACCCTTATGTGGTCTTTATGGGGAATTATGAAACTGCATTTTACAAGGTGACCCCATCTCTTAACCCATGTGACGAAAAGGGCAGCCTTCTGAACTTTATCTTATATTTCTATATTCCTCGCCTTGAATTAAAAAGTTTTTCTGGCTTTCGCATCGTGTATTTCCTGAATTTTCCCAGGCATCGGGAATTAAAAAAGAGGCCATGGGTAATTAAAATACTTGTTTCGGCTTCCCTGAATTCTAGTTCATCCAGTTACTTTAAGATAACCATAGAGATTCTGAGGGATCCAACGCTTTGGATAATTTCGCTCTTCTGTTGACACCTGTAGCATCCTTCGATACAAAGAGATACAAGGAGATCCTGTACGGTGTAGTCCATTTTTCTTTGACTTTATATCCTGGGTGTATGCTATGAAAATAGCTGTAAAATACCTCACGTATTCCTTCACCCTTTAATTGGACAGCCGTGTGAACATCTTCCTTTCAATGCTCTAGAAAATCTTAACTTTTACCCATAATTCATTGGACTCTCCAAACTTAACCTTGTGTTCAGTCCCTTACCTATTGGCTTCCAATACTATACCTCTGAGTTTAAATGTCATTTTAGGTTTTTTTTCTTACCCCCCAGCAACTGTATAGGGCAAAAAATCTAAAACATTCATATTTTCTATTTCTACTTTCAGGATTTAATTAAATTCCTGTAAAAACTTGCCAAAATTCTTGCTCCCCATACATAGGCTCACAGATGATGGCCCGTCTGTCGGCTGGTTTAGGCTGGTGTTTTATGAGTTTTCAAATTAAATCACACTTGGCTGGTCAAAAGTTTGCTTCAAAGAGATATGTTCTTTTAATTGAGCACGTCTGGCTTTCCTCACTCACACACACACACACACCCATGCGTGATGTAAATAAAAAATGAATCCCCTCAACACCTCTCGTTGAAGAATCTCAGCATGTAATAACTTTCTGGAACAACTTTTTATACCCTCAGCCATATGGCTACAGAGGGTATATATCATTTGATACGGTAAAAACGTGCCTAGTCGAAATAACGGTTTTAGACCCTAGGTCTCTTTGGACCAAATCCGTTTCAGGACATTTGGAGTCGATCTAGCGATGTCCGTCCGTCCGTCTGTCTGTCTGTCTGGCTGGCTGGTGCGCACGATAACTCTCGAAGGGAGTACCCGATTTGGTCCAAACTTTGTACATCGTAATATTTTTGTCAAACTTAGATCGAGTTCGGAGATGGGCAATATCGGTCCACCCCTTCTGGTACCTCCCCCACAAAAGTTCGAAATTTTCAAAAAATATATTTTCTGCACAGAAAGAGAAATGATGATCCGGGTTTGCTCCAACTTTGCAAATCCTAATATTTTTGTCAGTGCTAGGTCAAGTGCGAAAATGGACAATATTGGTCCACTCTATCAAGTACCTCCCCCACAAAGGGTCAACATTTTGAATAATAACAACTCTTATAAAATGTGAAGTAAGAGTCCGATTGTCTTCAAATTTCACACATCCCAATAATTTTATTAGCGTAATATCTGGTGTGAAGATGGAATACATCGGCCCACTCCTTCTGGTACCTCCCCCACAAAAGGTCGAAATTTTCAAAAAAAAAAATATATTTTCTGCACAGAAAGAGAAAGGATGATCCGATTTTGCCCCATCTTTGCAAATCCTAATATTTGTAACAGCGCAAGGTCAGGTGCAAAAATGGACAATATCGGATCACTCCATCAAGTACCTCCCCCACAAAAGGCCGAAATTTGCAAAAAAAATATTTTCTGCACAGAAAGAGAAAGGATGATCCGATTTTGCTCGAACTTTGCGAATCCTAATATTTGCGTAAGTGCTAGGTCAGGTGCGAAAATGGACTATATCGGTCCACTCCATCAAGTACCTCCACCACAAAGGGTCAAAATTTTGAATAATTCTAACTCATATAAAATGTTATGTAAGGAACCAAACGTCTTAAAATTTCACACACCCCAATATTTCTATAAACCTAAGATCTGGTCTTAAAATGGAATATATCGGTCCACTCCTTCTGGTACCTCCCCCACAAAGTGTTGACATTTTGAATACCCATGTGGCTCATAAAACGCCAAATTAACATCCGATTCCATTTAGACTTGGCACATCTGAATATTTCTATCAACACAAGATCTGTTATAAAGATGGTATAGATCGAACCATTTCTTCCGGTACCTCTCCCATACATAGGGTTCAAGATTTTGAAAAAAAAAACGCTCAAATAAAGCGAAATAAGCTTCTCTGCAAATTTCAAACATACAAAATTTTTGCTAACACAAAATTTGTATATATCTTCGAAGCCCTTCTGGCACCTCACCCACATAGTGTCACAATTTTCAATAATTTTATGTGTTTTTATGATTTGGCATAAAATACGAAATGGACAATATTGACCCATTTCTTCGGAACCTGCTGCATAGAGGGTCAAACGTTTGAATAATCGTAATACTAGCCAAAAAATATTATTTAAATAACGTAGGCTGAGGGTATATATCTGTCGGCAATACCGACTGATACTTTTTAACTGGTTTTTTGAGAGGTCGTCAAAGCTTTTAATTGAACTTAAATTTCCTTCGTTCAGTTCTATGTTTTTCTTTTTTTGGTGACGCCAATTCATTTGACGTTATCTTCCGTTTCCTTTTGCAAAAATTAATCAAAACCCGGAAACGGAATTTTTAATATTATTTTGTTTCTGTGTGCGTTTGTGTGTTTGTGTTGTTTTTGCCTTATTCCCCACGAAAAGTAAACAACAACAAAGCAATTGGACTCTGGTGGCATATTTCTGTTTTGTTTCGTTAC